CTCAGATCTTATTATTTATTAGTTCTGTTGCTCCTGGTCCATATCTTTACTCAATGGGACACACAGCAATTAAGTGACTAACCTGCAACTTCTGAGTTCTTAGACAAGGTTATTGCTTAAAGGGATACTCAGGAGCTGTAAACTATTCTGTTCCTGTGAATTTTCTTTCCTTTTTCCAACTAAACCTTTGTCTCTTGTGTCCTGAATGGATTTTGAGTTTTTGTTAGATAGAATCATGGACATTTTGGACTTAAGAGATCATCCAAAGTTACATGATCTGGTTGGGTCGTGAAGCAAAGGTTGATAGCAAAGCATCAATCTTCTCATATAACTTTTCTGAAATCCTTTATGAATATGTTGGTAACAAATTCTTTGTTCTATAGTATCAGTGAAGCAGTTTCTCTGAATCTCAGACAGTGGGAACAGCCGGTCCCAGGATCAAAGCAGAAAGAAATTGGAAAGATGTCCTAGACATTTGAAAACTGAGTATCTCATACACATTTCTGAATTCAAAATGCCAGTGTTAGCCATGATCATGGACTTATCTGAAAATAAACAATTAACGTGCCTTAGCACTCAGCACCCGTTTTCATGTTCTTATGAGATATTGCTTTGCATTTCTGTGTAGAGTGGTCCTGCCAGTACCTCGGGTTCCAGCTGCATGGCTATTTTTATTTCTTAGATTGCAGTCAGAACACTTACAAACAGTTAAAGCTTGTAAAGAAAGAAGAATTTGCTATGTTTTCCTGCTTCCTTGATTGGTTAGGGGATGCCACCTTATTAAGACTGTGTTGTGATTCTTCAAATTATAGTGATCTTATTGGCCTCCTCCTTGAACTACTGTCTTAATCTGAGGTCAGCACTGACATAGCTAATTTGAATTCACTGACACCCAGAATTTACCATGCTTGAAGCTGTATGGCAAACCTAGTGAGCCTCTTGGTACTGATAAGATTGAAAATTGTGATCTGGGATATGCACTAACCTGTACTGTGGTAACGTGGCATACTTTCGTACTTCACCTTTAGTTTCTGTCAGTGTGACTTGCAATTTTTAGCATGAATCTATTTTCCATCCTAGAGGTTGTATCCTTGCAGAGATGGTGAAATCTTCCAAATCCACTAAGCCTGTGCTGTAGCTGATACCAGCTCAGGTGGCACTGAGGGGGAGTGAAAGAACTGTGTGGAGGAAGAGGATGTGAGATAATCCTACAAAAAGCCAGAATCTGAGTCTGATTGTCCTTAGAGATTTCAACCCAGCTGTCAAGAACAAGGTCTTGAATTTTTCATAGGTTTGAATGTAGTAGGCAATCTCCTGAGTATGTCTCTTTGAAGAGAGGTTCAAAGATACAGCTATCACTATGCAGAGATAATCAAGGTGGATAATAGGTTCAAACGTAAATACTTCCAGCCAGCCTGGAAGTAACTACAGTGCCATCCACCAGAGGTCAAATCATACCAGCAGCCTCCCTTGAAAGTGTTTTCGTCCTGGGTATTTGCAAAGCAGCCACCTGGAACTTCTTCTGCCCCTTCACCAGACAGTATGCCATTGTAGAAGCATCCAGGATTTGGTGCTGTGTTCAGCAGAATTGTGCTGAGATATTGTTTGCATGAAGGATTCTGAGACCCAGCTCCAGGTAAATACACAAGGACTGAGTACAGTTTGGAGTCACCCACGCTGTGAATGCACATGGTGGACTAACACTTGAAGATGAATAAAGAGGTTCCTTACTAGTAACTGAAGTTCTTTGAGATGGATAGTCCACATGTACATTCACCTCCTACTTCCCATTTTCCTTAGAGTAAAGTTGAGAGGAAATAAAGGTCTGTGGTACATTAAACTATACCTACCCAAGAATTGGCAAAGAGTTGAGTAGTAGGGTTAAGGGTTCTCTGAGTAAAGCAAAAATTCTTCACTTTGTGCTCTACAAGGCCTGCCATCAGCCAAAATGTAACATACAAGTGGACTGTCCACCTTAAAGATCTTGCTCCAAACTTGCTTACAGCTTATTCATGTTCGTGTGTACTACTAATCTGAGGATTACCTTTTCGTCTTTTAATCCATGCATTTCCTATTATAAATCCAAGCATTTCCTGAAATAAAAGTTCATAGAATTTCTTGCTGCCTTGCTATGGAGTCACTTACTTGGTAATATGACCTAAGACTCAATAACTGTGGGATTTAAAGGAATAACAGGGAATCCAAATCTGAAAGATTAGAACTAGAGAACCATATTCCAGTATTTTCCAGGTTATTGCCCAGATTTTAGTACAATTTGGCACCTGCTAGACCTTTATTCTCCTGTTAATTCAAAAATTTTAAATGAATTTTGCACATGGAGTAGTTTGTGAATCTTAATGAATGGTGGCACAAAAACTGCATTTAATTGTTCTTCAAAGAATCAGGCTATTAACTAACTGTATCATTCTCATTACATACATCAATTTTTATGTTGTAGAGGTACTGACTTGTGCTGAAAAGTTGTATGATCTCAAGGTTCTTAAAAAGTTCTATTTGTTATGGTAACCTAAGTAAGAATTTGTCTAAAATAACTTTTTTTAATAGCCATGAAATTATGAAGTACATTTCTAAGAAGTGAAAACATACAGAAAAAGCTTACACTAAAGATTCCCCACACAGACATCATGGGCTTGTTTGCCAAATCTTGGTGCCATGTTTTGTCTTAAAATACACTATGTAGTCCAATTATAAATTGTGCTTAAAGCTTCTGTTTTGAGTGAGCTTTCAAATATTAGCTGTAGTGAAGGTGATCACTTGAATGGGAATAAAGACTTAAGAGCTAATATGTAGCTTTAACCCTGAGGCCCTCAGATGTCTTAATGAGGAAATGGAAAATGTTCTGATGTTTATCTAAGGTAGGATGTTAAAGCAGTAAACGCTCAAGGAAAGGATTACTGAGAACTCCCAGATCGAACAACGTCTCTAAAATATTAAATGTAGAAATTGTAATATTAAATCAGATTAAAACCTCATGGGTTACCAAATAGCTTAAAGACTAAGATCTGCTTGTATCATATTGCAGAAATACAGTCAAAATGTTCCAATGTTGTTTCACGCACACTGACAGAAAGAGTAAACACCGTGGGTGAAAGGATTACTTGGTGGTAGCTGGTGGGTGGAAGAGCAAGGCTAAAACTGTTAATGTAATTAATGACTGGTCATTTGTGGGTTGAAAAAGGTACAAATGTTTCTGATAAGATCGTGGAAAGGATAAGATACTGAATGAACATTTCCGCTACTTAAAAAGACTATGTCCTATCATAAATACAAAAAAAGAGGCTACCATCTACTAAGGGTCTGTTAGTGCGCTGTGGTTTTCCTTTGTTCCTATGTGAATAAAAAACTGGCTATGGTCTCCTCGATGTGGAGGGAGGGAGGAAGACCTCTTATTTGACTGAATGTTCTTATATATCAGTGAGCCATGGATGATCATTGTAATAGTGCATACGAGTGCACTGTATTGAACAAATAACTAGCAATTTCGTTGAAATGATAATTCAACCAAAAATCTTAATGCATGAAAGATAATGAAAGGTTTTAACAGCTCTGGTTTCTGCAAAGGCCGTATTTTCTATCCTAAAATTCTGTGTGCTAGCGTGATAAAAAAAGAAAATCTCTGACCTAATTTAGATTGTGGAATGGTCTTTTAGTAATATCCTCCATAAATAGCTATAGAAGAACGAGAAATCATGAGATAAAATGAAAGACAGTCATGAATCAAAAACTAACTGGGATGAGGGGAAGCAAGGAATAAAATGAAATTATTTCTTTCCCCTGCCCATAAACTTCATGTTCACTATACTAATTTTCCAAATACGAGACTGAAGTAATTAATTTTACAGATGATGAAATTAATCATTTCATCAAGACCAAGCAGGACTTTGAAAGTCGGGGAAACACAAATTAGGTGAATGGACAGCATGACTTAAATGAAATTCAGGGTGAGTCAATGCAGAAGAATATAATGAGTGTTTCTATTAAGATGTATCAAAAAGTGAGAACTGAAATCCCCAGAAGGCTTCAGGAAAGGTGATTAGAATACTCAAAAGCTGGAAAAAAATCTCCTTTAAAAGAAGAGCAAGATTTTCCTGTAAGATTGAAAGGATATCTTGAATCTATTGTTTACAGAATTGCAGAGAGAAGGTAGAGAAGGAAAACAGTAGAAATTTCTCTTGGGTTTAAGAAATCAGGAAATGTTTAATGAAAATAAGATCTGGGAAAGCCAACAACAATTTTTCACACACCGTAAAACTCACTTGTGTCGATGGCTGTCGCAGGGATTTGTTGATGTCAAAAGTATTAAAACAAAAATGATTCGCTTGGTGTCTATGTAGTTTTAAGAATTAACTGTTAATATTTTGGAGGAAGTATTAAACCTCACGCTTCATAGGAGTAGAAACATTAAGCTGTGCTTGCCTTTTCTGTAGGGCTCTCTTAAGTTTTCCACTGAAGGAATGCAAGACTAACCTCTTTTTGTGGGAAGATTTACTTTGGTTGAAGAACTTTTAAAGGAGTTTGACTGCAGTATACGAACGGATAATATTAAATGAAAAAAACAGAGAAGTTTAGCTACATCTATGCTTGTCACATTCATCCTTCCGTAGCAAGGTCTTTAAAAGGCAACTGTTCCAAAGGCATAGCAAAAAAAAGCATAAAGAAGGATGTAGAAATAGTGGTTTTGTGTTATATGTCTTTCCACAGAAATGGTATCTAAATATTTTAAATTTATTTGCTCTGTAAATCTCAGTTACCTGCTCAGCTATTTTGAAAAGAAATTGGAATGAAGGAAAACCAGGAAGTAGATAGAAGGTTTCCTGCGGCAAGGAATCGTGATAAAACACAAGTACACTTCTCAAACGCTCTTTTTACCCTCTGTGCTTTATAACTTTTCTACCTTTTTGATTTGTATAAATATTATGTTAATTCTATAACCCTCTGTCAAATGAGTATGTAATATTTTGGCTTGTTTTTCTTTGAAGTGAATGAATTTTTAGTGTTTGAAGGCCCTGTCCTGCTGGATATGCGTATTAAGCACCTAATGAAAACAAAGCAATTAACACAAGCTACTGCCCTGGCAAAACTGTGCTCTGATCATCCAGAAATAAGTGCAAAAGGCAATTTCAAGCAAACCTACCTGGTCTGTCTGTGTTCAGGATCACCAAATGAAAAGCTAATGGAAGAAGTAAGTAAAAAGTAACTTACTCTTTTTAGGCTTCTTTAAGTAAGAATAAAGACACTAGTCACGATGAGGCTGTTTCTGTTTAGAAGAAGTTTTGCTTTAAAATACTATCTAAAATATTTTTTCTTTTCATTTTAGGCTCTCTTGAAGTGATTAGTAATGACTCTTGATTAAAATCCTTGTGGAAGGGTAGTATTAGCTTGCTAATAGGCATTTTCTGGCTCTGCCATAGCATGACATTTGGTTCTGCTCAAAGTTTCTTCTGTCTCTGCCTCGGTTCCTGTCTGTAGAATAGTGATTTGCCCACTGTTACTATCTGAACTGTAAAATTTGCATACTAATTATTGCAAGGAATGTGGTGGTCTAGGTGCTGCTTTCAATACAGAATAAATACAGCCTTTCTTGACCCAAGTGCCTATGTCAGGAAATTAGTTTATTTCTATTAGGAGGTAAAATTGAAGGTATAATTAGATATATAGTTAGAAATATGAAATTCTTCTTACTCAAATTCCAAAGTCAAAGAAGAGATGACAACTTTGCTCTTCTGCATCATCTTTTAGCTGGCATCTTCATAGCTCACACCATCCAAAAATTGAACCTGAGATTTCTTCCCTGCTGATGAGGCTCTGCTTCGGCAGTTGTCGCTTTTGTTGCCTGTATGAATCTCTCTATTGTTTCTTTGTTTCTGTCATCATTTCATGTTCATAATAAGTAAGCAATTAAGCACGCTGAACTTGCTTTTGAAGAATTAGAAGGGTGGAAATTACACAGTGATTGTTAGAAAAGCTTCCGACATCTATTTACATTTGGCCAAATTCACAGCTGTTTTGAATATGCACCAGTTGCATTTTCTTTCCTGCTGGAGACTCTCTAGATGTAGATTAAATGCCAAGATCTGCCTCTGTACAGGACGTGCTCAAGCAAAGCTGAGCCAGATCAGCACAGGCTACTCGGGGCCCTGCCAGAGCAGGCTGAGGAATCCCAGCAGGAGTTCCATAGGAGAAGATGTGCCCAGGCCTGCGCAACCTTGTGCTCCTTTACTAAATACTCACGCTTTAAGTGGGGGATTCAAACACAGTTCCTTCATTACTCATCCCTCTTCCCAAATTGAATGGACTTGGTCGGTGAATGAACCTTGGATCCCACAGAGAAAAGAAGCGAATCACCGAATAGCCATGTCTCTTAGTCCGTCATAACACACAGGAAAGCTGGAATTGGGTTGTCACAGATAACCTAATTCAGGTATTTCCCAGTCTTGGATTGCTTAGCTTTGCAGCCTCAACTGCAGAATTGTTTGTAGTACTACTAATTAGCCTGCAAAGTTTATAACTGACAAACTGAAGGCGGATACACAGTTAACATCTCAAAGTGGACTCCTGAACTAAGAAAGATAACTATTTCATAGCATAGAACGGGGAGAAAGTAAGCAACAAATGTAAATGGATACACAGTTAACATCTCAAAGTGGATTCCTGAACTAAGAAAGATAGCTATTTCATAGCATGAGAACGGGGAGAAAATAAGCAACAAATGTAAATAGACTTTTATTGAATGATCCCTGAGACAGGGTGCTGAGCAATGCATGGCACTTAAGTTTATCCATCCCTCTATCCATTGCATTTTTCTTTAGAAGGTGACTTTGAGATTATTAAGCCTCAAGTGATATTTAATGAAGGGTTGTTAGTATAGAAACAAAACGTAAATTCAGGGCCTGAGCTGCTGTACTGTTCAAAACGGAAAGTTGATTGCTGGATCTACAGCTGGGTGCCACGGTGCTAAAACAGACTCTACTGCTGCCTTATCCAAGTGCTAAAGTGTCTGGTTATTCAGATTAGGATTTCTTTTTCTTTCTTTGGGTTTTTTTTTTATGATTTCTCAAGAGACTTCTAACAGTCTTGTTGGAAGAGTTGTTATTCTTCAACTGCCAGTGTCAAAGAATAAGTACAAGCTTGTCCTGCCACATGTGCTAATTGATGTAATCAAATCAGTCTGCTGAGAGGCAAAATAGACAGTAGTTGTTCTATTAGCTACGCTCATTCAGTGCTAATACTTCTGTCTAGTACTACTGGGTGACTGTGGTTTTTCCATTGTTTTCCTACAAAACTTTAGTGCTTAAAATGTGGCTCGAACAAATGAGTTACACTACACATACAGTAATATCCTTCTAGAAAGAAACATTCAGTTGACTTGCTTCTTGCTATACAGTTTCTTTTGTCTTGCTATCTTTGATTTTTGGAAAATCCTGCAACATTCATGTTAGTGGTCATTAATCATCCAGCGATTGCATTAGACAGGTAGTGGCTGTACTGCTAAAGTGGTTGAGATGGGGAGGTTGAGGTAAAAGTCTTTCTGTAGTAGGCTGCAACTTAAAGTTCTAATTCTGCTCTTTCTATTTATGATTAATACTTTTCTTTAAAATTTGTAGGTGAGTGGGACAGTAGATACAAGTCTAATGTCTTTGAGACACAGGCTTTTATATTCCGTTTATAATTTTTTTTTCTTGGTGGCGTAATCACTTTTGACACTTAGTTCAGCTGGAAAAGCATTCATTTATTTAACTCTCTCAAGAGATAAGCTTGAAAATATTCACTAAATTCTGAATTACTCTCTTTATAAGGAATCAGATTAACATTTGTCAGAAAGTGAAACCACTTGCTTAGTCTCAATCTTATTTTCTTTCCTCCCATCCAGATTGCAGAAGTAGATTGCAAAGATGCTCTAGAAATGATTTGTAACCTAGAATCTGATGGAGATGAAAAAAGTGCTCTAATTTTATGTGCAGCATTTTTATCTCGCCAGCTGCAGCAAGGAGAGATGTACTGTGCCTGGTGAGTTTGCTTTCTGCTCATGGAAATAAAATCAGTTTTGGCAACATATAGCTGATACATAAGCCATAAAGTTAACATTCTTCATTCTTTAAAATATATGAGTTTAACAGAAGGAAGATTATGCTCTTGGAAAGCTTAAAAGAAAGTATTTAACATGATTAGCTTCTATTATGAGAGTTTGAAGGCAGCACCGTATCATCAATAACAGTAGCTGTTTAATAAATTTTCGTGACAATAATAATGTGCTGTAGAAATGAGGAATTTAATATCTGCAGGCAGCTAGTCAACATTCTGGTGAATTTCTGCACTGAGAATAGAAGACTAGCATTGGAAAAATAGATTTTTGCATAAGATACTTTTCCGTTCTGTCCTTATTTTGTAGCACAGAATTCTTTCCTCTGAGAAATTTCTGGAAAGGAGGTTACAACAAAAGTAATAGGCTTGCTAAAATTATTTGTTGTATAGGACTTGATTTCCCTCCTCTGGGAACCACTAGCAGGTGTTTGTTGGAAGACATTTGAGCCGTTAGAATTTCCAACTGCGATCGGTTTAGTTGGGCTCCCAAACCTGAACAATTCTGGATGGGTTTGCAGTGACTTCTTCTGCACTGCAGCAGCAGTAGGAGGTCTAATGCAGGGTTTTGCATCACCAGATTCTGCTAAGCTTTGGGGGTTTACACCATCCCACATAATATAAAACACTCTTGGCTGTTTATACCTAAAGAGGGCCTAGCATTTGGGAAACTACTACTTTGGCATTAAGTGGTAAGTTAATGTAGATAAAGTAGTAATATAGGTCTTTTGGGATTAATTTCACACCAATCACAGTTAGATTCAACTCTTAAGAAAGAGTAGCTGAAGAAAAATGTATCTCCTACAGAGAAACGGTATCCTACTGTAGCTGTTGATAATTATCAGAAATTCAGAAATGTAAAATTCAAGTCTGGGGAGTAGAGAGTAAACTACTTGGTGAGACTTTTTCAATACAGTATGTGTAAATTCTAAAGTATAATTTGACACAGTTCTGGTTTTATTCTGATCTATCCTTCTAGAAATGAGTCATAGAGGTAATTTTGAAAATTGGATATTAATAATGAGGTTATATTCTTTATAGCTTTAATCTATAAAAGAAGGCATGAAGAAATTCAGATTTTTCTTCTCTAAGGGGCAGCACAGAAACTGTGTATTTCTTTTGAATAGATTTTGTGGTTGTATTGCTGTTCTTGAAATATTTGTCTCTTTTTCTAGGGAACTGACTCTTTTCTGGAGTAAACTACAGCAAAGGGTAGAGCCTTCCATTTCAGTGTATCTAGAGAGATGTCGTCAACTTTCTGTATTAACTAAGACTGTTTATCACATTTTCTTCCTGATTAAAGTAATTAATTCTGAGGTAAGGAAACTCTTGAAAGATTACTTTTATGAAACTTTTTATGGAACTCTTAAACAGAAAGACTTATTAAAGCTTCTTAGACATTTGGTTTCTTAGTGTAGAATCAGCTTTAGAGCAATTCATAATTGCTTTTAAGAAAGACCTTTGCAACATCCTTGTTCAGTCTGATTCATTACAACTTTTATGCTCCTTTGGAGGAAAAAGAAAAAGCGTGGGGGGGAGAGTGTCAACAGAAGAGCTGGATGCTACAGCTGTAGCTGGGCAAAGAGAGGTTTTGGTGTTTCAGATATTACAGAAAATGGCAAGAAAACACTTGTGAAGAGAGGAAGTGAAAGCTCTACATTAACATATAGAAAAACTAGAACAAAAAAAAAAGGGAAAAAAATCCTTTTTGGTCTCCACCTAAAAATATAGTTTGTTTTGATAAATGAGATGCTTTCTTCTTGCAGATTTAGTTCTTATGTTGTATTCTAAGCTCAGTTCATATATCTCAACTAATCTTGTCATCTAATTTTCCTAATCTCTTCTCATGATATATGTGCTACTTAACATTTGTCATTTTAAATCTAGCTCTTTCTTAACCTTTTGTTTTGAGAAATTCTGTAATTCTGGATATTTATTCTAAGAATAAGAATGTTCTTATGTGATATTCTGGTAAGGCTAATCACTTTCCAGTCTTAGAGATGATTTTTTCCAAGGACTTCAACTAAATAGGAGAGAGGAGGAAAATAATTTCACAGAGGCTCGTGATGCTTCGAGCTCTCTATATGCTCCATGTCATACTGATTTTTCCTCAGTGAGCAGTGGATCCTTTCATTGATGGCAGAAATTTGAAGGCATATCAAAAGTAGTAGTGTTGTGCATCGTAAATACCCTTGACTTTATTTTCATGTATACCAGAGCTTCTCCGAACTTCCTTGGCAGCCTAAAGGGACTGCAATGTGGGAAAAAAATGTAATTTAGTTTGCTGAAGATATGCGTGAGAAATGACATTTGAGGCCTTTAAGTGATGGAACATTTAACTATACCATATTTTCAGTGGGAATAAAGCCTTGTGCTTAACTAAAGTCATTTGACTTGGAAGTGGCATAATCTTTAAAAAATAAACTTTACTCTTCAAGTAAGTGATGCCCCGATTCTGGGGCTTTTTGCAAATCACGTGCTTCTCAAAAAATTCTGCAGTAGGACTTCCTATCATTTGAATTCTTCCTAGCGATAAGTTAATGCCCCATAGAAACTCATCTCAAATAATTTTGACATACTTGGCAGCCTTATTTGGTGCCACAGGCTCAATGGTGCTCTAATATAAACTCTTAGCAACTCTAGCATGCAATCCCAAAGTCATCAAAGCAAACAGAACATGCTGATAATATGTATTTTAGTTATATGTAAACTTTTAAATTCTTTTAGTAGCCTGAAGACAAGTTATGCAACTTAAGGAACAGCATTTAAAGACCAATCACTATGCTCTTAAAATGTCTATTATAAAACTCCAGGTGTATTTTTCTGACATTTAAGATTGAATACTGACACCTTCTATTTGTGAATATAAAAAGGGTTATGATAAGCTGACTTACTGAACTTATTCCTGCTCTACAGATTGATGGTGCTGGGCTTGCAACCTGCATTGAGCTGTGTGTGAAAGCACTACGCTTGGAAGCCAGTGAAAATACAGATGTCAAGATATCTATTTGCAAGACTATCTCCTGTTTGCTTCCAGATGATCTGGAGGTTAAACGTGCTTGTCAGCTGAGTGAGTTTCTTCTCGAACCTACTGTGGATGCATATTATGCTGTAGAAATGCTATATAACCAACCTGACCAGAAGTATGATGAAGAGAATCTTCCAATACCAAATTCATTGCGCTGTGAGCTCTTACTTGTACTGAAAACTCAGTGGCCTTTTGATCCCGAATTCTGGGACTGGAAAACTCTAAAGCGTCAGTGTCTTGCACTGATGGGAGAGGAGGCGTCCATCGTGTCTTCAATAGATGAACTCAATGACAGTGAAGTTTACGAGAAGGTGGAGGATTGCCAAGAAGACAGTAAAGAAACTTCCCTGAATGGGCTTGCTGGCAGTATTGATGAAGCTACAAGCCTTCTCCGAGGTATCAGAGATGAAAAGCAGAAAAAGAGAGAAATTAAAAAACTCCGAGAGAGGGGGTTCATATCAGCTAGATTTAGGAACTGGCAAGCTTATATGCAGTATTGTGTGTTATGCGACAAAGAATTTCTAGGCCATAGAATAGTTAGGCATGCGCAGAAACATTATAAAGATGGAATTTACAGTTGTCCTATTTGTGCCCAAAATTTCAATTCTAAAGAAACCTTTGTTCCTCATGTAACTTTGCATGTTAAAAAATCCAGCAAAGAGAGATTGGCTGCTATGAAACCACTGAGAAGGTTGGGAAGACCTCCTAAAATAGCAACTACCAATGAGAATCAGAAAACTGAATCCATATCCAAACAGGATCAGCGACCCATTAAGAAAAACAGTCTCTATTCAACAGACTTCATTGTTTTTAATGACAACGATGGTTCAGATGATGAAAATGATGATAAAGATAAACCTTATGTACCAGAGATCGTGCCAGTTCAAAAGACACTACCTGTTAATGAATTCACCTGCCCTGTAACATTTTGTAAAAAAGGCTTTAAATATTTTAAAAATCTGATAGCACATGCAAAGGGGCATAAAGACAATGAAGAAGCTAAGCGTTTTCTTGAAATGCAAAGCAAAAAGGTGATTTGCCAGTACTGTAGACGACATTTCGTAAGTGTCACTCACCTGAACGATCACTTGCAAATGCACTGTGGCAGCAAGCCTTACATCTGCATCCAGATGAAATGTAAGGCTGGCTTTAACAGTTATGCTGAGCTGCTCACTCACAGGAAAGAGCATCAAGTCTTCAGGGCAAAGTGTATGTTTCCCAAATGTGGCAGAGTGTTTTCCGAAGCGTATTTACTCTATGATCATGAAGCACAACACTATAATACTTACACGTGCAAATTCACTGGCTGTGGCAAGGTGTATCGTTCTCAGAACGAGCTGGAGAAGCATGTGGGGGATCACAACAAGCAGCCTGAAAAAGCGCTGCAGCCTGAAGAGCAGCCGAACCAAAGTGATCCTAGCCAACCTTGCAAGGATAAAGCAAGTGCCGACGGCGTTGAGGTTAAAGAAGAATTGACATCTCCTCCAGCTGACCATCTAAGTAGTTTTACCGAAGGAGAAAACCCCGTTTGGGATCAAGTCAAAGCAGAACCAGCGCGGCCTGAGAGCGCCAGCGTCCCCGCGAGCATCCCGAGGCAAAGCGAGGCCTCAGAGCAGTCTGCCACCAGCTCAGTGAGGACAGAAGCGGCAATTCCAGCAAGCAGTGTTAAACTCTCTGATGTTAATCAGAAGCTCCGAGAGAACTTTGTAAAACGAGGTAAATTGGCAGCTACTCCCAGTAAAATAGATACCACTCTATCTGGAAGCCAGCAGTTGTGTTCATCAGTTGATCCTTGTCTTCCAGTTTTCCAAGAAAGAAAGGAAGAAGATTGTCTCAGTCAGTCCCAGAATATTCAAAATATTTCTGTAAGTTCAGAAGCACTAAAACCCGAAGCTCTTGAATCCAAAAGCTTAGACAGACAAGTGAGTGTTGTAAATCCATTCAGCATGCAGAATCAGACAGGGTATCGAAACAGCATCCCCATTTCCAAACTTGAAATTGAAGACAGTATTAAGGCTGCGGCTAATCTATACAACCTGCCTTTAAAAACGCTAGAGAGTATTACGTTTATTCCATCACAGCCTAGCATAAATAGTTCTTTAGTTCCAGCTGTGTCAGCAGCAACCCCAGTTCAGAAATTTAATTGTCAAGTTGAAGGGTGTACTCGAACGTACAACTCATCACAGAGCATTGGCAAACATATGAAGGCAGCCCACCCTGATCAATATGCTGCCTTTAAAATGCAGCGTAAAAACAAGAAACCTCGAAAATCCAGCAGTTCGCAAAATACGCCAGATGATGGGAAGATTGTGTATCTGATGCCATCGCAAGTGGGCAATCCGAGCAGTGCTGCTTTTGCTGCACAAAATAAAACTAGTTTGAATCCCACCTGTTCCAGTCACGTGCAGCATGTCTCAAGCACGCTCTGCCCAGACCACCTGGAAAATTTGACTAATCCTGGGTTGGCTACAGTGGAAGGTGTCATAAATCCAAGTTTGTCTACTCGTATTAAAAGCGAGCCTGAGAGTGTTTTATGTTCCCAAATGGAGAATTTGTCCGGTGCAGCTTTATCTACCCCGTTGGAAGATCTGGCAAAAACAGTGATGCCTTTGAATATTGATGGCAATTCAGATCCTTTTCTTCCTTTGCCTGTGGAAAATGGTCCGATGTCTCTCTTTCCTTCACCAGGAGAGAGTGCTCCAACTTCTGTCTTCTCGCAACTGGAAAATAATACAAATAACTTCCCATCACAACTAGAAGGAAACAGTAGTTCTGCTTTCCCCAAAGAAGAAAGTGTTGATTCTATATTTCCCTCACGAGTGAGTAGTGAAAATAACTTCAACGAAAGTAGTTCGCACCATCCATCTGCAGACAAGATGAAAAAAGATCAGGGCCGGGGTCCCAATGGGAAAGAAAAGAAGCCAAAGCACAACAAGCGGGCTAAATGGCCAGCAATAATTCGGGATGGCAAATTCATCTGCAGCAGGTGTTTCAGAGTTTTCACTAATCCTAGATCACTTGGTGGTCACTTATCAAAGAGGTCCTACTGCAAGCCTCTTGAAGGATCAGAAATCTCCTCGGAAGCTCTGCAAGCGAACGGACAGTCTTTGCTTGCCAGTATGATTCTTTCCTCAAATTCGCTGAATTTGCAACAGCCGCAGGAGTCCACCTTCAACCCAGAATCATGCTTTAAAGATCCACCATTCCTGCAGTTGCTTGCGACTGAAAATCGACCCACAGCCTTACTGCAGACTATGTTTCCACGGGCCAATGTGACTAACTTTAATAGCAGTGGGAATGAGGAAGGAAATCAAATTATAAAGCAAGCCTTGGAAACTGCAGGCATCCCAAGTACCTTTGATAACACAGCAGTACTTCCACATGTAGTTACAACAAGTTGTGTCACGGGTACCACGCAAATAAATGCAGCCCTTCTCCCCAGTTCAACTGTGGCACCTCTGCTGCAGACAGTCTGTAGCCCAAATACCCTGCTAACAGACCAAAACAGGACCCTAAATGCCAAAACTCCTTCAGTGAATGAATGCAAGACTTTGCCTGTTTTTGCCACAGATGATTTAATGTTAAAGACTATTGAAAATAATTTATGTTCTAGCTCTTTTTCTAATACCATTGCAGCAGCACAAAATTTTGCAGGGAATAGCGCACGAGTTTCAGTTATAAGTAGTCCCGATAACACAGGATCAAGTAACTTGGATAAGAAGGGAACCAGCACCTCAAAGAGGAAGAGAAAAGCAGCTACGCCCTTGCTAGCCCCTAACATATCACAGAAAGTAGTAGTAAATAATGTACCAACAATAGGACTTATGGCCAAAAGCACTGAAGCAAATGTGCAAATACAAGGAGAAAATTTTCAGTCAAGCTCGCTGGCAAATTGTGATTCGCAAGTAGCGGTGGAAAATCTCACGCAGAAGCTAAATAATGTTGACAATCAATTATTCATGGCCAGTATCAAAGAGAATTTCAAAACAGATCTTGAGACTCGGACAACGTTAACCCCTTTAACAGTGAAAACTGAAAACGGGGATTCTCAAATGATGGCTCTAAATTCTTGCGTACAAGCAAATTCTGGCAAACAGGTTTCAGAAGACAATGTTATTCAGAACTTTGAAAAAACTCTTGAAATAATCAAAACTGCCATGAATTCGCAAATACTTGAAGTGAAAACTGAAATTCAGGATCCTGTCACAGCTTCAGCACCGAACTCGCAAGTGAGTAACGGACCGACCTCTTCAGGAAGTTCTTCGCTTAATGTGAAATTACCCCCTCACGCACAGCTGGCAGCGCGTGCAGGGAACGTCCCCGCTGCAAGGGGTAACTCCACCCAGCCGGAGACGTCCCAAAAGGACGATATGCAGATGTTGGAGATCTTGGAGGGCTTGCAGAAATTGAAACTCGAAAACGATTCAGCCGTTCAGGTCTCTGAGGCCGTTCCCCAGTGCCCTGCAGCAGATGCGCTGCCCCCAGCGCTTCCCGTTGTGTCCACGGAGAGCAAACCCCTCATCCAGGCGTCTTCAGAGACCAGCGCCGTTCAGTTTAGCGACAAAGTCAATAAGCCTTTTGTGTGCCAGGACCAGGGCTGCAGTTACAGCGCTATGACAAAGGATGCGTTATTTAAACACTATGGCAAGGTTCATCAGTACACTGCGGAAATGATACTAGAAATCAAGAAACATCAGCTGAAGTATGCCCCGTTTAAGTGCGTCGTAGCTACCTGTCCAAAAACGTTCACGAGAAACTCCAATCTCCGAGCACACTGTCAGCTTGTGCATCACTTTACAACAGAGGAGATGGTGAAATTAAAAATTAAAAGACCTTACGGCAGAAGATCTCAAAATGAAACTGTAAACACAGCCCCAAGACCCGTTGAAATAAATAATTTGCAGACACTAATAATGGAGGATAAAATTGCAGCTCCATTGGTCAAAGAAGCGCAGATAAAGGAAGCTGTAGAGCCCGTAAAGATCACAGAAAAACTACTACCAGAGAAAAGTATTCCTGAACGACTGGAAATGCCTCCCCAGGTGGTCTCCCTTCCGCCAGACCAGCATAACGCAGCACTGCTGGGTAATATTCAGGCGCAGCCAAAAGTGCGCAAAGTCAGGAGGTACCGAAAGGAAAAGGAGGAGAGGAAATGCAGGAAGCCTGTAACAAAATCTCTGGAGCTTCCTACCAGATACAGCCCTTACAGACCGTACCGGTGCGTCCACCAGGGCTGCTTTGCAGCCTTCACGATACAGCAGAACCTGATTCTGCATTACCAAGCTGTGCACAAATCAGACCTTCCTGCGTTCCCGGCGGAGGTGGAGGAGGAGAACGAGGCAAGCAAGGAGGAGCGCGACGAGGCCGAAGGCAAAGCCGCCGTCAGGGAGTTCAGGTGCGAGGTGAGCGACTGCTCGCGGATATTTCAGGAGGTTACCAGCCTGATCCAGCACTATGTGAAGCTTCATGACATGAGCCCCGAGGAAATCGGAAACATGAAATCGGCGCTGGACGGGGGAAGGTTTTCCTGCGACCAGTCTCACTGTAAGTCTTCGTTTACGGCGTATCTTAACTACGTTGTACATCTGGAGACAGATCACAGTGTTAAGATAAAGCCCAACAAAGTGGAGGAAGACGGAATATTCAAGTGTGACTGTGAAGGCTGCGACCGTATTTATGCTACCAGATCTAACCTCCTAAGGCATATTTTTAATAAACATAATGACAAGCATAAAGATCATCTAATAAGGCCCAGGCGACTGACACCAGGTCAGGAAAACATTTCAAGTAAAGCGAATCAGGAGAAACCCGTGAAGTCTAAACAGAGAGGCCTGAAACCCCGATCGGGAAAAGAAGGTAACAGGCCGTCGGTGAAAACAAAGCGGAAGAAAAATGTTAGTTTGGAAAGCAAAAATTCCAAAGGAATGCAAGTCCAAGAAAACAAGGCTTATTCGCTGAAGCGTGGGAAGCACGTGTATTCAATCAAGGCTAGAAATGATGCCTTATCTGAATGTACCAGCAGATTTGTAACCCAGTACCCATGTATGATAAAGGGATGTTCCTCGGTAGTTACAAGTGAAAGTAACATCATAAGACATTATAAATGTCACAAGTTGTCCAAGGCATTTACTTCACAACACAGAAATCTCCTCATTGTATCTAAAACGCACTCGGTGCCACAGGTAAAGGAAGAATCCTGTGAGCAAGAGGAGACTAATGAGAAAAGTGACGTGAAAGAGGCCGAACCAACCTTGTTAGTGAGCAGTAACGATTCAAGCGCATCTGCGTTACCACAGAATGAAACCGAAAAAGGTGAGAAGGATGAAGTGGATGAACTGACAGAGCTATTCATTACTAAACTGATTAATGAGGATTGCTCAAGTGCTGAAAATCAAGCAAAAATCGCTTCCAGTGTAAATAACAACTCGCAGGAAAACAGCTCCTGCCCCTCAGAAAAGCAAAAATCAAATAACTTAAAAAGAGCAAACAAAGAAAAGAACGTGTCCCAGAGTAAGAGGAGGAGGACTGAGAAAGCGGAGGAGGCGCCTCCCGTCGAGGCCAGCAGCCTGCACAGGGAGGACGAGACGGCCGTGGCCATTCAGACGGCTGAGGAGCAACCCGCAGCCTTCGACTGGAGCTCCTTTAAGCCCATGGGCTTTGAGGTCTCGTTCCTCAAGTTCCTCGAAGAGTCTGCCGTGAAGCAAAAGAAAAACACGGACAGAGACTACCACAGCAGTGCAACCAAAAAAGGGTCTCATTCGAACTCGCGAAAAAACAACGAGAAAACCTCCGTAGCAAGTAATAATGTCACTTGGTCGTCTTCTGAAACCGAAACCCTTGTACAGTTTGCGAATCCGTCACAACTTCAGTGTGGTGATAATGTAAAAATAGTTTTAGACAAGGCTTTTAAAGACTGCACTGAGCTTGTGTTGAAGCAACTTCAGGAAATGAAACCTACCGTCTGCTTGCAAAAACTTGAAGGACGCTGGGGGGATAATCCGGGGGCTACCGCTGCAAAAGGGACTGCTAGGGGTAAGGAGGAAGGGGCATCAAAATACTGAAAAGCTAATGTGTTCAACCATTACCTGTAATACATCTTTATTTTGAATAGGAAGCCATCAAGCATGCTGGTAACCGTGGAGCTCTTTTATTTGGAAGTGATTTAATCTAGCAAAAAACATGACATTCGTCATGTAAATTTCTTATTTGTTTTTATCCCTATGGGACTTGAGGAACAGAAAAAATGCTTCAGTTTTGTAAATACTTGATCAAAACCTCAACTTTCTATCAAACTGTCCTTTCCATGAACTAAATCTTTGTGAATCGTCTGTGATTGGTATCTCTCACCAGGTCACTGCTCATGTATAACAGTACTCTTTATTTGTAGATACATCTTTTTGTATATATTTATTATTGTAAATCATTTGCTGCCACCAGCAGTCTGTAAGTCTAAACTATTAAATGACACATTTATATTCGGAATTTTAATTTGTAACTAAGTGATCGAGTTTTTAAAACTGTGCTTTAATCATTTTAAATTAAGAACTTTTGAACTAAAACTAGGCAAGTCTGCCATATCCAGTTTATTTTGCATAAAGCATTTATTTACAGGAGAGGAGCTGGATAAGATCACATTTCATAGATTAAACATGTACTGACGCACCCTCATTTTTGTAAATCTTAACATCCAGTATCTTTGGATGATAATTCATATGTAGTTAACTCATAAATATAATAGTTTTCTTATAGCTACATTTTTCATTGCTTTTAATTGGATACAAAGCATTTATGATTCCATAATAAAAATGGAAATGTGAATAAAAATAGTTTGCTACATTGGAGATTTAAAACAATATTTGGTATTAAAGATCCGTTGTGAATGTGATAGAAAATTAGTAGTGTGGAGCAGTGTATATATTTGAGGTGGTGATTTGTGAAGTAGCCCAGTATTGCCTTAAATAAAATCACATTTCATTTCTTGTTTTATACATGTGATCTTATAAAGGTTATTTTTGTTTCTGTAACTTAGATTGGTGTATAGTTTAATTTTTGTTAAAAAAAAAAAAACTCAGAAACCGTTTTTGTAAATAGTGGGTTTATAAAACAGATGGTTTATTTTGATAATACCGATTTGGTATCTATCTATAAAATACATGAGTCCTGATGCCATACCGTTTCAGACTGACTAAGCAGGGCACTTTCTGAACGGGAAGTGAGGTGGCGATGGCGCAGATGAGCGCCCGGCTTGCACTCTGTTGGCGGCGTGGGTTCTCTCCATGCTCTTCCTCCTCTGCTGACTGTGTTGGGCAACGCTTTGCCGCCCGCCTCTGTATTTTCCACACTGGAACGAGCCTCGGAAGCAGTGCCGCTTGTAGGAACTGGGATCGGAGTGATTTCTGTGTATGCTGCTAACTGAAACGACAGGTACCCAGTTTGTTTAGTAACCAAAAGAATAAATACATTAGGGGGAGCTGTCAGTATCCAAGAATCTACAACGTTGTTTTTAAATTTAATATATGATTATGCTTAACTCAAATGGGACAAGCCAGCCGGATTGTGTGGAACCAAAAATTTTACTTGGATTCTTCTCATTATTGGATGTGACCTACCTTCAGTAATAGAAAATAGTCTTTATCTTGGGAGAGATCGGCTTGATTTTTTTCTATTAACTTGTCTTGCCATGTGAACCTTTGCATTAAATGCTACCTTGATTGCTTTTAAACTATCCACCTGTAATATTTGACAGTTTACTTGAATATTAATTCAGAGAGCACATTCGTACAACCAAACAAAGTGACCTTTTCCAAGAGCGAAGAGCTTTGTATGAAAAGCCAGAAGGAAAACAGCATTTCAGCTTTGAGAACAGTCTTTTTTTTTTTTCCTTTTTTTTTTGGCTATCTGGTCTTAAACTGCCGACTTCCTCACAAAATGACATGCTTCTATTTGAACTGAGTCCATTAGCTGCTGTAAGTTTCGTTCTCTTCCGACTGACTAATCTCTTATATCTGTGAAGCAAAGGTGTGATCCTGCCAGTGGTGAATGCAGAACAAGTGCCAGCGTTTTAACCCTAGAGAGGATCGCTGTAACTGTGTGATGCTGCGTTCAGCGTAACAGAGACCGCGCGATCTTCCTGGCATCAATTCCTTCCATATGGAAACGGCCACGGTTGTAGGGAGGGCAGAGAGCAGCCAACCTCATCTGGAAAAGGATCCAGAAACTCCACCTGAAATCTGCTCTTTTCAGATGCACCGAACGGTTACAGTCATTGTCAGCAGACCTCAAAATTGCTCCTTTTTTTTTTTAATATATGCTAATACCTTGTTATGTAAATTAATAGTCTCAACATTAACATTCCCAAGTATATATATTGCAACGTTTGCACTTTTTAGACTACGTGAGAATAGCATACAACTATTTAGGTACACAGTGCTATACTAGGATGCTATTTTAAAAAAGATGGGGGGGGAGCCAATTTTAATAAACATTCAGGAAATAATTTCTGTTTGGGATCTGTGTTTCTGAAAAAAATAACATTCCATCATTATTCTTATATCCCAATTAAAGCAATTTTAATTTGTGAACGTCATAGCGGGTGCTGTGCCAGTACAGACACTGTCCTTCCTTGCACAATCCCTGCTCGATGGATACTGACAGCCTGTCCGACAGGTGATCCACTAGGGACTTCTGGTTTTCCTCTAAAAAGAGAACTATTTTAAACTCCAAATGGGGGGCAGAAGGGACATCAAGTGGGTTCGATTTAAGATGTCGTGCGCTGCGGAGGGTATTTTAGTTTGGTGAAGCAACCGACAAAAATATTCCTGATGTAATAAACTTTGGTATTTTCATTTCGCTGTTTCCGCTCGCGTGGTGTGTTCCTGCGCGGCCGCGGCGGCGCCTCACGCGAGGAGGAGCCTCCCTTGGAGCCGCCTCGCCTGGCGGGGCCTGCGCCCTCCCGCGCCGCGGAGCGCGGACTTGGCCCTCATGGGGATCCTCATGGGATGTTATTGTCCCGAGCCATTAAGGCACGAGGGAAAGGTGCTTGAAGAAGCAGTAATGCCCCCGTCTGTGGCTTGGTGCCTGGCTGGGCCCAGCTCGCGCCACAGCCTGCCCCGTTCCAAGAAGGTTGGGGGGGGAAACGGTAGAAAAGCAGAAACTGGCCCAGAACAGAGGGTGAGATAGCAGAGAGGTTCATTTCTGTCCTTTCAGGTCAAGTAATCTCTGACAGAGCCAGCTTGTGTGGTGCTTGTTTCCTTTTTATTAGCTCTTCTGCTAAAAGCTCCTCTCGCTTTGCAGCGAGGCAGAGGCCGCCTGCCTGAGTCAGGAGCTAACGAGGTTAGAGTCGGTCCGTAATAACTGTGCAGAATGTTTCCCATGTACGAATTTGTCAAAACCGAAATTTGCTCCGTAACCCAGAGCAGTTTGGAATTAGATTAATCCTTTCATGATCTTTGAAGGCACATGGTAGTCAGAACGCATATTCCGAAAAAACAGAGGCCGTGTCTCACAGGAAATGCTTTGGTCCAGCTGGGACACGCGACTGCCCAACTTTCAGGGGTGGCCTAAAACTCCAAGCCCTGGATTAACCTACTTCTTCCATCAGAGAGCAGCTAGTGCACAGATTTAATCAGAAGCCTGTGTTGGTGTTAAGCTACGTTTGCTTTTCTCTCTTTCTCTCAAATAAGCCCTGCTTTAAAAGAAGTTAATAAATACTTTTTTATTAATCTGCTGTCTTAAAATCCATCCTTGATAATTACAAAATAGCTAATAATTACAAATAATAACAATTACAAAATTTTTGAAGTAAATTTTTATTTTGGAAATGTTGCCATTGTCTCAGAAGCTGCGTGTGAGGCCGTCCAAGGCCCCAGATCCGTTTGGTTTTCTTTCTCAGTTACTCAAATTGCAAAGCAGCGGTTGGGCTGCTCTGCTGGCAGCGTCTGGCTTCCGCGGGGCTGTGCGGGGTTTGTGCAGCAGCTGCCCAAGTTCCTACCCGCGTGTCCTCCATGCACCCTGCTTTGTGCATGGAGAGATCATGGAGAGATCTCATGGCACAGGCTCAGAATTTTGCAGGCGCGTTCGCTCCTTCTACGCGCACTGACTCGGCGTCATGAAAGATGTAAAACTTTAACTGGCCACAAGCTGGCAAGCTAGTCGCTGAGACCGGCAGCTGCTGCTACCAGATTCAGCGGCAAAAAATATGTATCTTCACCTTTACTAGAAGCAGATGTAGTTTAGCAAAACGACAGCTTGTGTGAGCTTGAAAATCACAAAATACATAGTCTTTTCATTACATCTTAGAATTAATTCTGTGATTGCTACCACAGTGCTCATAAAAGAAAGGCTTCAGCTGGGTTTGTGAATGAAACCCTGTAGTTAACAGGTTGTTGCTTCTGTTTTTTCCTCTTTGTCGTGGCACAAGCAGTGAACTCGGCTCAGCACGCGGGCAGAAGCGCTCAGTCCAGGCAGGTTCCCCTGAGAGAGCGGGTGTTCATCAGACTGAGCACCGGCGTCTGGAGGGCTTTATTCACAACAGAAAGATCCCCAAATAGCTCTTTTTTTTTAGGAACTAGTACCTGTTACCTCAGAACTCCCCTGGGTTCAACAGAAGATTATATTTCACACACGTCTGTGACTTTCCTTTTGGCCCAAGATACGTATGTAACACAGAGCAAAGGTGCATATTGTTTGAGACAACAGGGCGTCTACCTGATTAAGAAGAAATACCACTCAAAATTGTAGAGGGCAAAGAAAGGGTTGTTCTTTTTTACTTCGTTTCTGATGGAGGTTTTGTACCTTTAGATTTCCCAGTTTCTTCAATAGTAGGGAGATCCTCCACAGAAGGACCTACCCTTGTGAGCAGTTTTTCCAGCCTTACTGAAAGAATTAACTCTTCCTGCCCAAGGTTGGGCAAGCACTTTTCCTTGCTCTATAGGAGCCCTTATAGGCTGTGTTGTGATGATAAATACCCTAGAAATTGTGGACGGCTCAAATACCCGCAGAGGGAGGCACAGAACCAAATAACTAAGTCTGTGTTTATCACCATGGGCTTAGTTACAGTTAAAATACATTTAGTTTCTCGGGGGTGGGGGGCGGAGGTTGTTGTTTTGTCTGGTTTTGTTGTATTTTTGGTGTTTCACAGGATGCCGGTGGAACGGGCTCGTGATTCCCAGGCTCACTCCGAGATGGCTGCGGCCGTTGCCCACTGACACTTTCTGGTCACCGCTCTTATCAGATCCACCCAGATGGGAAATGCTGTAAATCCCCTTTCCGTTCAGGGTCCCCTTCAGCATAACCAATCCCAGCCTCTTTCAACTGAACATTAAAAACCTCTTTTTTCTTGTGCCAAACCAATTGCGCAGAATATTCAAAATACAACTGCTGGAGCAATTGTCTCAGCACAATTTATCATAATCATCTACATTTATATTACAAATTCATGAAAATGTCAGGCTTCTGCACCTCGTTTCAACATGAACAGATCTAGATAATTCTATGTATGACGTATATAATGAAAGTGAATTTATCTGTGCAAGTGAGCTAATACAGAAAGGGTATTTGCTAGATAACAATCTAAATATTTTCACTGCCCTTTCAGTTCAGTGAAGCATTGATCAGAATACAAAAATTGCTCAAAAACAGCTTGCAGAATAGTTTTCTCTAGCCTTCTCCCAAGTCAGTGGCAGCTTTTTTTTCAAGTTTATCTTGTATATTAAGAAGCAAGGATGGGGATTTGTGAACCCCACTTGCAGTTGCTGTTCTGCTGTGACCAACAGTTCTTAATTTGTGGCAATCACTTTTTGAGCTGTGTTGTTTCTTGCTAGACGTCTTCATATAACATTTTATGGAGTATTTGAAAATGAGATAACTCAGTTCACTTACATTTAATACAATGCACACACCTGACGTTGCTACCAGAAAATAGAGGAAAATCATCTTCTCCGTGGGTTTGGAAATATAGCAGTCTACGGCATTAGGACATGGTCTCATGTCACATTGCACAAGACGTGGGACTTCGAATCCGTTGTACAATTTGTAGAACAGAACAAGAAAAACTATTTCAAATCCCGTTTTTAAAATAAGGCTGATGAGGTAAGTGCACAGCAATCCGCCATCTATCTTCCCCGTACTTCTGTAAAGCTTCTGCTTGTGCCGCTTCTCCCTATTCTCTCGATAGGCAACATGAAAAACAACCAAGAGTGACGGAGTGGACACTGTGATTAACTGCAAAGCCCAGAGCCTGATCTGGGAGACAGGGAAGAAGTGGTCGAAGCAGACGTTCTCACAGCCCGGCTGCTTCGTGTTGCATTCAAATTCATCATGTTCGTATTTCCAGACGTTTTCTGCTGCCACAACATAAACAAGTAGGCGGAATATGAATACAATTGCTATCCAGATTCTTCCGATTCCTGTTGAATATTTATTCACTCCACTCAGCAGATCTCGCAGAAATCCCCAGCTCATTTTTTTCTCCTCAAGGAAGGATGGAAATGCTGTATCAAAGAAACACAAGATCAGAGAGATGCGTCCTCTTGGGGGAAGAAAAATGAGAAGTACATCCAAGGTGAAATACAATCAGTAGCTGAAACAATTTGAAATGGTTAAGGATGTTTAAAAAAAAATCCTTAGTTCTGAAAATTTCTGCCTTCTGAGGCTGTTTTACTAAATTTATTTGCTGTTAAAATAGGTTTTGGTAGGTTTTGTCAATGGCTGAAGCCTCGTTGTTCTGTGCAACTGTCCTCTGAGCAGTCCTCCCTATTACTGAAAATCAGCCCTCCTCTTACCAGCACGAAGCAAAGAGCATTACAAGGCCGCGCTTCCGGATTCCCTTTGGAGCTGAGGGCCTCCCAGCTTCCAAGCTACATCCCAGCGGAGGGGGCGACAGCCCTTTAAAGGACCCCGCCGCTGGGAGCGCGGAGGTGGCGCTGCTCAGTGGGGCAGAGAGGAGCGCTGTGGGTTCGCCCGCCTCCCTGCCCGTGTCCCCAGGGCTGCTGCGCTTGGTCAGCGGCCACAGCAATTGCCTGGCATTAGGAAACAACGTGCCAGCTTTGGGGTCATAACCAGAAGGCATAACCCACGTGACAGCAGAGCCCTGGATAACGAGGGATGGATGTATACAAAAAAAATGGACTAGGTCTCATCCCAGCTGACAGAAGGTTTTGTTTCATAGTTTGCAAGGGAAATGTATGTAGACCAAGCTAATGAAAGCAGAAAGGTGCTCTCAGCAAGGCTCTCTCCTGTTCCTGTAGCTGGAAGATCTTCGTGGCATCTCCTCGCTTCTCACCTCCACGATTTCCATTCACAGTTTTAGCGGGTGCCTCACAAACAGCAGCAGGGACAACCGCAGGCTCCTTCTGCCTCCAGCCCATCTCCCTTGCGGCTAGACATGTATCCGGCCAGAGGAACTTTTGAAATTAAAATAAATGAAGGTACACCATGCATCTGGCGGGACAGAGAGGGAAGAGAGGGGTGTTCCCTTCCTTTGCTAAGGAAGAAAAAAATACCCTCTCACTTCACATTCACATTTTAGGTAAGCATGCGTGCATATTATTTCTGTTTTTCCAAAGGTTTTCCTGTGCAGCACGTAAAACCTCCTCTAGCTATTTCAGGCTCTCTATGCCACCACCCAGGTACCCTCCACTTAGCACTGTCAGTGATGCAAATATTAATTACAGTCAAATCAAATCTCACAGTCAAATTTATGTCTAGGAGCCAACTGTCCCAAATTAAACTGACTACCAAATTTCAAATGATTTTTTTTTGTGTGCTAACTTCTCAGTCAATTTATGCTACATTTTAAATCCTATATTTTCTCTCTTGATAATAGTATTTTTCTCTTTCTTAACATTTGAGTTAAAAAAATAAAACACATCCTTCCTAGAATGGTTTATTTTGTAGTTTCTCCTCCACACAAGCCTTCCCCTGCCCTAGCTCTGGATCCCTCCTTTCCAGAAGGGCGGCCTCAGGAGCGCATCACAGCAAGGCTCTCTCTCATCCCAGTCAAAAGAGGATTTAAGGCCTTGCTCTCCCCAAGAGCAAATGAGAGTCCCCTTCCCGCGTGGGGCAGCCCTATGAGCTCTGTGTCTCTGGGCAGACCTCTCCGGAAAGGTCAGGTTGCTGATCTGGGTATCTCGGCTCGGCTACCATTAGAGCTGTTGATTTACCGTGAGGATCTAAAGTACCGGTACAGGAATGAATATATTGCTGACTTATACTGCTAGCAGTGTTGAAAAATATATTCTTGGGAGTAATCACTGCCAAACTACTCCTTTATGCCATATAAAAGACAATAAGAGGGGGGTGACAGTTTGGTTATAACATATCAGGTATGTGCTTTTATTTGGCAGACTGGTGACCTTGTCATTAAATGATTTGTTCTGTCCATATCTCCGTATCTGTCCATATCTCCATATCTGCAATTAGAGCTCAAGCAGATGTTCAAGCCAAGCCCTTGCAGGCTAAGGGCTGTGGCTATAAAGATTTCTAGCTGATAAGTCAACACGACATCAGCCCCAAAGGAGCTGAACTGGGAGGCATGAAGATGTGGAGTGAAGTTCTGGCCAGGAGATGAAACACTTCGCAATTATTGTTCCTTTTTCTAGCATTATGTAGTTCCTATTCTAGTATGGAAAATCCAGATATCAACATGCATGAACAGTAACGGGTATGAATGGAGACTGTGAATGAGTTGCTCTCCAGAAGGGTTATCTTACCGAAGGAAAACCGCAAAGGCCTTTTTTTTTAGGATTTATGATGTGTGCAGGCACTGGAAGGGAAGGCTGGATTTCATTACTGCATTGAAAATCTGTATAGCTGTAAATGGGCTTTTGCTAATGTCCGTAACAACAGTGACCATCCCTTTCTAATGTAAAAAGCCCTGTGTTACTTATCAAACCATGTTTGCAGGCACCTAAAAAGTGACTGGAAGGTCACCAGTTCTGGGCATGCGGCTGAAGAACCTCGGTCAGAAGTTAAAGCTACACTAGATATCTAATATAGATCGAGAAACTCACTTTTAGGCCTCATTTCCCACAGCTGAGCTGATGCTTCCTTGCCAGGAGCTACCTCAGCAGAAAGATGGATTAGAAGAGAATAACTTCATCCTTCATACCTGCTCTTGTCCATCCCTTGCTTAGGAGAAGGATGTGAAGGGAAAAGAAAGGACTGAAAAAGTCTTTGACAAATTCTCAAGTAGGTCTTGAGCAATGAGCAAATTCTAGCCAGACAAACACCAAAAAAAATAAAAAAAAAATAAAAAAGAATTGTAAGGATGAAATCTCTAGGAAGCTTCTGCAAAACGCAATGAAATCTAGCCCTGAGGCAGTGGGGATTTGGCAAAACGACAGATGTCTCCCGTTTTAAGTGGTCTTGTTGGGTGAGAAATGGACCTGAAGGACTGCGGGTCCTGCGGCAAGGGGAGCTCCTCTCACACCACCCTGTCGAACTTCACTGTTTCCACCTGCAGCCTCCACTTGCTGCTGAGAAATGGCATCTGCAAGCCCAAAGGGCCACAGAGCTGGTTTTGTGGCATTCCTTGGGCTGCAACCAGCACGGCAGCTCTGTTCCAAGGAGCTGCAAACGTACCTTTAGAAGGCTGTGTTTGCTTTATGCACCGCCGTTGCTATAGAAGATCATGGAGTGTAACTGATGCTGCTGGTTTCGCTGAACTAGCTCACTGAAGCATTGCTAAGAACATAGGGGACGGATCACTTGTTTAAAAAATAGAGTGAGGGGACTTCCAAGATAAGGAGTTATTTAACAGATGAAGAAGGGAGAATTTACTTCATGGAACAGCACAGGCAAATGCTGAAGAAAGGAGAGGTTACATTGACTGAGGCTAGAGAAGTTGCAGACTTTCTGCAGGCAGTATGGAATTCAGCACAACGTAACGACTCAGAAAGACAACAAAAAATGAGAAATGAAATTTTCAAGTGAACGCAAAATTGCAGTAGGAAAAACATTGTCATGCAGGCTTTTGGGACACTGCTCCATAAATAGCAATACATTTTGAAGCAGATATAAAGGGTAGTATCAGGGCACAGCACCCGAGCAAAATTACATTCTAACTAAAGGAAGGCCAAATCCTTGTAGCTAAAGGTAGATTTCAAAGCTGAGATTAGTGGGAGGAGAGTTATTTTGTGCAGAATGAACCAAAGAAGGTCAGGAAGGGTAGCTGGCTAAAGAAAGAGAATGCATATGACATCATTTTGCATCAAAGTAGCACCCAGTATTGAGGCAAACAAATGATTCTGAAGTTTAAGAAAGACATCAACAAAAATGTCAAAAGGGGTTCTATCTGGCACCATGGAAATAGGCTCCAAAAAGATTTAGCCTCTTCTGGAAATTACAAAGGCACAAGAAGGCCTTAAGAGGTAGAAGAAGGATCATTTGCTCCAAGGGCTCACGAAAATACTGATGGGAACAAAAACTCAAGAGCAGGAATTAGAGGTTACATTTACATCACCCTCCCTGCCCACACTCCACACACATGCAATCCCAATCGGACAAAAGTTAAGAACTGGAGGTACCTTGATTTGCTGTACTCATTTCACAGAATCATTATGCTTGGAAAAGACCTTCAAGATCATCAAGTCCAGCTGCAGGCCCATCCTCACCCTGCCTGCTAACCCGTGTCACCTACATGTTCCTTGAACACTGCCAGGGACAGGGACTCCACCACTGCCCTGGGCAGCCTGCTCCAGGGCTTCTCCACTCTTACCATGTAGAATTTTTTCCTAATATCTAACCTGAACCTCCCCTGGTGCAACTTGGGGCCTTTTCCTCTTACTCTATCTGTAGTTATTCTGGAGAAGAGTCCGACCCTCCGTCTCACTGCAACTTCCTTTCAGGTGGCTGTGGAGAGCGACAAGCCCGAGCCTCCTCTTTTCCAGCCTGAATAACCCCAGCTCCCTCGGCTGCTCCTCGCAACACGAGCATCAAACAGAGGCCTGGGCTGCTTCTCCTGCCGCCGCGAGCAGGGGATCCCTCCTCCTCTTCACAGACATTATTTGTTTCCTAGATGTAACTTGAAACTGCCCCAACTCCGCCAAACTGTTCATTAAAGACACAAGTGACCAGAAGAGCCCCCACACACTGTATTTCCCTCATAGACACAAATGACTTAGATATCTCCCTTAAGTCTGCACCCACACTCTGCTGAGCAAACCGAGCTACCTCTATGTACCATTAATTTCTGAGTGTTGAATGTAATTTATTGCGTGAAGTGTTTGAATAATGCTATTGTTGATGAATATATTCATCAAATAATCATTTCTATTGTTCAGCGAGGGCTATAAAAGGTTGCCTAATGTGTATTGAATAATGCACCCACTGAAAAGCACAGTGTTATTAAAAGCACAGAGAATTAGTTCACCTAGATTTCAATCATCAGCTCTGCTAATTTAATTACCTTAAAAGCAGAGAAAGTATCCTTGTGCAAAGGAAAAAAAA